TGTATTGTAATTGTTTTTCCATTATTAATACAATTGTACTTTTTTTCAAAAAAAAAATTGTAATATATATTACACTATATTATTTAAAATACTAGATGTAGTAAATTTAATTTGAGAAAAATAGAGAGAAGGAGAATGAAGAGATATACTTTCATTTTTCTCTATTTCCCTTCCTTCTCCTCCTCTCTATAAACCCCACAATCTTTCAAAATTTTTTCTGATCAAATAGAGAAATTTCCACTCCTCTTCTCCATCCATTTTTTTAAACTAGACATATATATTAATGAAAGTTAACCCATTAATATTAAGAGTTATTCATGTTTTGGTTAGCTAAAAAACATGAGACTCTTTCTAAGTTTTTCAACTTGGAGTGTAGTACAAGGGATTGGGGGAGTAGTCACAGGATGGAAAGCTTATTTTGCTTTTGGTTAATTCTTTTCGCCTCTGATTTCAAGCGGTGGGCTCAGAAAGATGCGCGTCTTTGATGCCATGAGAACTCATGGTGGTTGGGTGTGAGCTGATTTCAACCTAATTAAACTCCAAGAAAACGTCAATTACAAAGACAAACGAGTTTATTTTTTTCTAATGGTGAAAGTCTATGCATAAGTTTGACCAGAGAAATAACATAGATAATGACTTCAACTTTTAAAACTTTACAAATTAAGGATTTAAATTCTTTTTGTTTTTAACTAAAGATCTCAACTTTTCAATTTTTCTATTTCATCAATTTTACTATACAAGATTATGTCAGATGAAATGTTGTGGTGTGCTTCTTAATTCCATTTAGTAGCCCATATTAGATGCTAATGTGTCAAAACGAAAAAAAGTTGTCATCGATGACATGGACAAAAAGATAAAAAATTACCATTGGTGTGAGATTCACAATAAACCCAATAAAGACCAATAGAGTTATAGAGTCTTAGTTTTGTCCATATCATCAATGACTAGGTAAATTTTTTTTATGAGTTAACGCTTAATATGAGTCATTTTAACAGAATTAATTAAGAACCTTATGTCAACATTCCATCTAATAAAGCTTTTTATAGTAAAATTATTAAATTTAAATTTTTGAATATGAAACAGGAAAGTTCAAATCGATCCTTGATTAGAAACAAAAAGGTTTGGATCCTTCATTAGTAAACTTTCAAAAATTACAGTATCTATGTGTACCATTTCTCTGCTTAAAAACTCATTAGAACTCATTTTCAAGAATGAAATTAAATTTTGTGTAGA